TGGATGGGAAATAAATTGAATCAATAAAAATATTAAGAAAAAACATCCAATCATATAGTGACACATGCCACCATATAATTGGAGATTAAATTTATTAAATTATCTAAAAGTTAGTACCAAATTAATAGAATGTGTAAGTAATGAGGACTAAATGTGGATTATACAAATTTTATTAACTACCATGTCATCTCCTTTGTTAATATTTAATGGCAAGTAGCTTGATTGACAAGATTTAAATAGTCAGGCGACCCGATTGACAAAATTGAAAAATCAGTAGTTAAAACAAAAATGATATATAGTTAGATGGTTAATAGTATAGTTTACCTTAAAAACTAATGTTTTCATAAATATTATATTTTAATTAAATCAAATTTAAAAATTTAACTAATTTATAATTATATATTTAATATTTTATAATTTAATTTAATGGTGCTCTTCTACTAAACAAGAATTGTAGAATTATTTGTTTATGTGATAAAAAATGAATGAAATGATTTGTTATTTTGTTCGTTTGTGAAGTCTTGTCCGCTAATGCATGCTTGATTTTCCATCATTTTCAATATATTCAATGATGGGCCAAGGCCAACCAGCAGGTTTCACACATCTCGCTCTTTACATGGTATACTGCTCATTCCATATTTAATCAATTAATTTAAATTTAAATACCGCATAAATTTAACATAAGATATTATTTTAATTTTATTTACATGGTGTGATTCTGCATGCTTTGGGGTTGCCTGAAAAATTCATTAGCTGGATATGGGCTTGCTTTGCGTACCCTAGGTACTCTATTGTCCTTAATGGTACTCTTGTTGGATATTTTAGAGGAGTTAGAGGTGTGAGGCAGAGTGATCCCCTTTCGCCCTATATTTATGTGTTGGCCATGAACGTGCTTTCTAACCTTTTGAATGTGGCTGCTTTAAATGGGGTCTTTGGCTATCATCCTAAGTGTAAAAGGATTGGGCTCACACATCTTTGCTTTGCGAACGATTTGCTCATTTTTTGCAAGGGTTCTATCAGTTCTGTCATGGGGTGCAGGCTGTCCTGGATCACTTCTATTCCGTGTCAGGCTTGAAGTTGAATGCTAGCAAATGTGGGATGTTTGTTGTTGGTATTCCTGCTGTGCAGAGCAGTCTCATCAGGGATTTCACTGGCTTTAGATTGGGTGTTCCTTTGGTCACGAGGAAATTGGTTGTGAAGGATTGTCAAGCCCTTATTAACAAACTCAGGGCGAAGCTAACCTCTTGGGCAAATAAGCATCTCAACTTTGCTGGGAGGTTACAACTCATTCGTTCTGTACTCCTAAGCATCTCGAACTATTGGTGTAGGCAACTTATTTTGCCTCATGCGATCATTAGGAAAGTGGAGCAATTATGTTCTCGCTTCTTTTGGAAGGGATCTGATGTACCTGCAAAGGGTGCAAGGGTTAGTTGGAAGAAAATGCGCCTCTTGAAATCTGAAAGGGGATTGGGATTGCAAGATGTTGGGTGCTGGAATAAGTCTTGCACTGTACAACTTATTAGGAAGCTTTTGGCTAATGAAGGTTCCCTTTGGGTGGTTTGGATGCACTCCTGTGTTATTAGAAATGTTGATTTTTGACAGATGGCAGTCCCTGCTAATGCTAGTTGGAATTTCAAACATCTGCTGGAAATCAGATCTGAAGTTGCTCATCTCTTCACGGGTCAGATTTGTGATCTGAGCACGAGGCAAGTTTGGGATTATTTGCGTGCTACTGGCCCTAAAGTACCCTGGCACCATCTAATCTGGTTTTCTGGGCGCATTCCCAAATTTAGCATTGTGGCGTGGATGGCAATGCTAAACAGACTGCCTACTCGGGTTAGGCTCGTGTATATGAGATTATCCATTGAACCGATAAGTATTTGATGTGTGGCACTATGACAGAGACAAGAGAACACTTGTTTATTGAATGCAGCTTTGCTAAGGAGTTGTGGGGCTCTATCCTTGGACTATGTGTCATCAACCGTGGAGTTAGAAGTTGGGACAGTGAGCTGGCCTGGGCTGTTTGTTTTTTTAAAGGTAAATCTCTCATTGTTCGGATTCTAAAGCTTGCTTGGACTGGTCACATATATGGCATTTGGATGGAACGAAATAGCATATTATTTGGTAAAAGAAACAGAACTAAAGACGACGCGTTGGACGATATCAAGCAAGTCATTCGAATTCGCCTGCTCTTTGTGATAAATGGGGCATTGCTTAAGCAGAGTTTGTTCTGCTGTTTTCTGTTCTTTGCAATCAGTAAATAGCTTTGATTGTTGTCATGGCTATACTTAAAGGTATTGTTTATTGATTTTGTATCTTGTAGCATCCTTTTGCTTCTTGGGTAATAAAAATTGAATTATCCAAAAAAAAAAATTAAATCATGAATTATCTATGAGATTTAGACTAATTTTGCCTTGTTGGATTAAATTGTATTTAATCTATATATGTTCAGATTATATCATATTGAAGATATGAGTGAAATAAAATATTTTATGTTAATATATATATTTGCAAAAAAAAAATATTTAACAAAACATTACAATTTTAATGATAAAATATTTGTATAAATTATTATCACCCATGTATTTGATCTTCATAAAATTAATCTATTGGATAATAATTTTTAGTTAGTTTTATTTAAAAATTATGTAAAAACAAATTTTTATAATAATTTAATGATTTAAATTATAAATTATTAGAAAAATAAAATAACACTGATAGGTTGTTCAAGTAATGAAAATCTAATATGGTGTTATATACATTTATTTTTCCATCACGTCCATATTTTTGTTGTAAATTTTGTATTTAATGATCAAAATACAATCAAACTTATAATTCTATGGTTTTTAGAATCACTTGCTCGAAAAATAATAATTGTATTATTAGAATATTAATCATAAAAATTATAAAAACATATAAAATTAAAATAAGTAGGTCCTCCTGATAATATAATATATCATAATGTAGTACACGGTAAAGTAATGTATTCCTTCATTACTAATTCATCGAATCTGACTTTATTTTTCTTCGTATTTTCATTATGGGGATAGATAGTAATGGGTCTGACTCAAAGAGCAAATAAACTAGAATATTAATAATAAATATTAATTAATTAATTCTTTTATTTGAAATTAGGTTATTAATTATAAATTACTATCTTGTTACATGATTATTTAAATTTCAGTTAAAGATTTTATTTGTGAAGGAGAACATCCTTATTGTATTAAGTGGTAGATCGATAAATTTAAAAATGAGATTTAAAATTTTTAATATTCATTTTTTCTAATAAAATAAGTGTATTTTTTTCTTCTCTTAATTTATTGAACTATATTTAATAATTTATTCAAAATAATGGTTATACATTTGGTCCCCTAAGAGGTCAAATGCATCTTTCCTTTGATTAGGTTTAAGGGTATATAAAGTTTGAATTAAGAATTAAATCAATTAAGCCGTTTGAAAAGTTTTAACTAATAAGTTTTAAGGGTTTTTAGATATTATTATCATATGATACATTGTGGTTTTGCCATGTGAAATTTATGATTTTTTTAAAAAAGATTATTGAGATTTTAAAATTTTATTAAAAATAATAAATTTATAGAAATACTATTTATAACGTCATGATGTGATATGTGACACAAAAATGATCGGAAAGTATTAAATTCAAAGATCGACATTAATTAAAAGAATGAATTGATGATATTTTAATGTATATAAATCTACTTTGGTGTATAAAGTTCACGAGCTTTAGTTTTAACCTTACATTTTTAAAAAAGTATAATAAAAATTAAATTTATTTTATTTGATAATTTTTAGCTACTCATATAATATAGTTTGCATAAAGTAAAATAATAAATATTAGAATATTATTTTATAATTATTTTTTTAATATTAGATTCAAACTTATACTAAATATTCTTTAAAATTTAAAGAATATTTTTAAACTTTATTACTTTATACGAAACGTATTATGGATTCACATGAGAAAAAAAAAACACAAGCGTAATTAACTTAATTTAAGGGACTTAGGTTCCCTTTCCTAAGAGATGCACACATAACAAAGTCTTTTAAAAAGGAAGGTCAATGGTGTTTTCATTTGTATTTCTCCATGAAAAATCAAGTTCCTCTTGCATGCAAATAGGCAAAACATTAACTTACCCTAGAGAAACTCCACATTTACTAATTCATGAAACAAGCCTTTAAAGAGGGTAAACAAATAATGAGAATTAGGGTTTCTTTTAGATGCCCTACAATGAATGCCACACGGTTTTTGAGTGATAAAAGAAAGATCCTGTACCATGCTACCTTATGAGATAAATATAATTCAAACCTTGAATATATCTTAGTAGTTAAAAAAATATTGTATTCTTTAAAGATCATGAATTTAAGTAACTGTGTATGTAAGATGTATGTACGTTGTTAATGGTTAAAATAAATTATGAACAAATATTATTTTATAATTCAACATAAGTTTGATTCAATATATATATATATATATTATTTTTATTAAATAAATAAAAACCTAATTAAGTTTTATTATAATTATCTCTAAATATAATATTATATTAAATCAGGTGGCTTTTTTTCATCATCTTCAACAAAAATGAGCTAATCCAAACTTAAAATTTCATTTTTTAAGAAAAAAGAAGTTTATGTAATCAAATAAAATTGAAACACGTCGAACTGTGATGAAATGTACATCCCTAGTGGGAACATGATGTGCATGCTAGATACGAGTGTCTTACACCAGAGAGAGAGAGAGAGAGAGAGAGAGTCCAAGCACATCTGACTTTTGGCGAACATTGAGTAAATGATGTTTTGCTGTCTGTTTTGACTCTTGCATATCCCCATTTACCTCATCATTAAGTGGGTGTCAGCGTTAAACACCTCCTTTCCGGGGGATCATCCTCTATATATATGCACAAACCCAAACCCTTGCCCTCTTGAAACTAATCACCAAAACATCTCGGGGTTTCAAAACCCAGAATCAATTCTTCTTCAAAAAAAACAAACTGAAGAAATGGGTAGACCTCCTTGCTGCGACAAAGTCGGTGTGAAAAAGGGTCCATGGACACCGGAAGAAGATATCATACTGGTCTCTTATATCCAAGAACACGGTCCGGGAAACTGGAGATCCATTCCTACTAATACAGGTATCCAATTCTCTCTCTTAACTCGTAATTGTTGGGTTAGTTGTGTTCATTAAAGAGTGCAATAAATATAGAGGCACCTTTAATTTTCCCTACATTAATATCTGTTTGATTTTTCTTTACAGGCTTGCTTAGATGCAGCAAGAGTTGCAGGCTTCGATGGACTAATTATCTTCGGCCGGGCATCAAACGTGGTACCTTCACCGACCAAGAAGAAAAGACGATTATCCATCTCCAAGCTCTTCTGGGAAACAGGTCTGAATGTAAACCGAGTGATTTAAATCGATAAAAAGGTTGTTGTTGTTGTTAAAAGTGTGGGTTTTCATTTTCGGATTTGCAGATGGGCAGCCATAGCTTCCTACCTTCCTCAAAGAACAGATAACGATATAAAAAACTATTGGAACACCCACTTGAAGAAGAAGCTTAGAAAGGGTCAAAACCAAGATGGGGTTTCATCGTTTCAATCGGTCCCTAAGGGACGGTGGGAGAGAAGGCTTCAAACGGATATTCGATTGGCTAAACAGGCGCTGTCCGAGGCGTTGTCGCTCGATAAACCCAGCTTTTCCACGGATTCGAAGCCGCCGAACGAGTCGTACGCGTCGAGTGCCGAGAATATATCTCGGTTGCTCGAGAACTGGATGAAAGCCACACCGAAACCGATCACTTCTAGTTCTGGTTGTGGTGCTGATCTTCGAACGAACTCGGCTGAGAAGGTGACTCAGGGTTCGTTCATCAACGGCTCCTCCGGGACCAGCTCTAGTGACGAAGGAGCATTCAGTGTCGAAACCACACCGCTTCGTCAGGGGTTCGACTCGATTTTCAACTTCAACAAATCTTGCACTTCTTCGGATAACGTTTCGCATGAATCTGTCTCGGTGGAGCAGAAGAATGCAAATTTGATGACGCCTGAAAACAGCGTCGTTTTCCAAGATGAAAGCAAGCCAAATCTGGGGGATCAAGTGCCCCTGACGTTGTTAGAGAAATGGCTGTTGGAAGATGGCTTGTTTTGAAAATAAAAATAAAAATCTTGTTTTAACTTGCCTTCTTTCTTTGTTTTATATATATTTAACGAATTATATGATTATACATCATAAAATTAAAAATCAAATTAATTTGTTTTAATGATGTAAAATCATATAATTTTTTAATAAAATATAAAATTATATATCATTAATATCTCAAATATTTACGAAAATTTTATATCTTTCACTCTAAGCAAAACGACAACACCATGGTCTAGGAACCAAGAAGGATCAAGAAGTGTATATTGCTCAAGTTTGCATGGTGAGAAAAAAGGTGTATATTAAGTATAGCTAATATGTATTATTTTGCTATATATGTACCGAATCCTGATAAATTATAAATATACTTGCATAATATTTTCCTTATATATATATATTTGTTGATCTTGGACTTTTTTATGGTGCAAATTCCATATGCATGTCAAAAGAAAAAATGAAAATGGCCTTAGAGATAGAAACTCTAAATTAACTTTTTTGCTGACCCTATTCCCATATATAATGGGGTAAGGGGAGGTAAGGTAGTGGGTTGTCTCCAACGCCAGGTTAAGAGTAACTTCCGTAGAAGACCTCCGTTATGAATTGCCCTCAATGGGACTCGATCCCACGACTACAATGTTAATAGCCTTGTACTCTACCAACTGAGCTAGACGGGCAAGTCAAAAACTCTAAATTAACTCTTCTTTTTTAATCTTTGAGCATTAGTTCTAGTCGATTATCATTGTTAATGGTACAATGCTATAGCTACTTTTTTTTTTTACACAAGTTGTGCAAACTATGTTGGATCAAAATTTAAAATTGTGAGTACAGATGTACAATATACAATGCTATAATAAAGTATAACACAAAATTAAGTGACTAATTATATTATATGTGTCATTAGTAGTAAAGTGTTATGGAATTAAAATGTAAATATCATAAGTTGTATTGATGATTTGATAACGGGCATAATTACAAATACTAAAAATATTAATCTAATATTTTATCTATATAAAGAGGTAGTGGTCATCAAGAAATAGGTTAATTTGTATTATTCTTATCATTTCAGAAAGCTTTTACGACAAGAAACCAATCTTCTTAGAATATCACATAAAAAAAACTCAAATATTTCAATATATCAATTATTTCAAGTATGTTTTTGTAGTTAGTAATTCATTATTAATGATTTGACATGAATAGATCGTAGTTTGATTTTATATCAATTAGGTTTTCGTTCTAACAAATTAAAACCTATTTGAACTCTAAAACGCTAAAATATAAGATCCTTCGTCCTAAATAGGAAACATGACATTCAAATAGTTTCACTTATTAGTTTACACAAAATATGTAGGAGATATATATATAGTCGTTGGATCTGAGGAAATACCAACAAGCCGATTCATTACCTTACTATAATAGTCTTATGTCTATCGTATTGTTTTAATTGAAAGTTTTAATTCGTATTGTTTGCCTATCGTATTGTTTTAAAAACTTTTAATTCTTTGATAATGAATGTTTATGCTCTTATATACATGCGGTGCTTGAACGCAAAACCTTAAAAAAAATCTCTTAACCACTATGATCGTCTAGTTCATGCTAATAACAATAGTGCTTGTTTTAATGACAAAGCATAAGCAGTCTTGATTCAGCAATTATTAAGAACCTTGTTAATATATAGTTATTGTAATTAATTTTCGTGGTAAACTACCTATTTGATCATCTAATTATTCTCGTGGTTCTATTTTGATTATCAATTTTTTAAATCATACCTAATATTTTTTTGTTTTGTTTTGGTCACTCTTCATTCAAAAATTAATGATAATACTAAACTGATATCTATTATTATTTTTATTATTTAATTTCCATATCATGTACAATTATATTTATATTAAAAGAATTGATTGAATTCATATATTAAAATTTATACAAACAAATAATATTTTAAACTCTGAGTATAGAACGTAGGTCCACAAAACAAACCCTCTAATCATAAAAAAAATAAACTAGAAAACAAGGGGTGTGGGAAAATTATTTCATTCCACATCAAAACTTCACAAGCAGAATTAGCTAATGATATGATACTTTTGTATGGACGTTTGGTTAAATAGTGTTATACGGGAGAAGTTAGGTGTGACCAAATATGGTAAAATTACACTTAAATCCCTTGAAAGTTTGAAAAAGTATAATTTAATACAGTAAAAAAATTACACAGTAACCCTCTTAGGAAATACGATTCACTCTTGACCCCTTATTTTCGTTTTAAATTTACCCCTGTTAACACTTATCAAATAAAGTATAATCAAAATGAACTAAATATGGACCGAGAGAGATATTGAGGAGTGACCAAATCCCTTGGAAATTTCAAATTCTAATATAGTTTAGGTATTTTCTCTGTATTTTTACCAATAATCAAATTTCACATCCCTATATTTCTAAACGATCTCCCCCTTGACACAAAATCATACATCCATCCCTAAACACTAGGGATGGACCGGAAGAGGTACTGAGGAGAGACCAAAAGAAATTTCAAATTCTAATATTGTTTAGGTATTTTTTATTGATAATCTAATTTCAAATGCTTATATTTTTAAAATATTTCACTATTGACATAAAACCATACATCCATCCATGAACCGAACACAACAATCCAATGATTTGAATTTTGTGAAATGCTTTTTTAGCCACCATAGAATGTATAGACAAGAAGCATGTGTTTGTTGAGGATGAAAATGGGCCGGGGGGTTGACGTGAGGCCCAAATGCCAACTTGTCTTATTGCACTATATATATCATACATTTAGGATTTTTTTTGGTGATGGGCTATGTAAATTGGCCCCATTTTCCTTTCATTTGATTGGACCACATACCCACCCCACCAATCATATATACCTTTTTCCATTCCCACTCAACATTGTGGCACAACCTGCCTTTAGACCTAATTTTTAAATTCATCTTTCTGCCCATTAATTTTTTAAAGTTATAAAATGATAATTAAACTTCACCAAACTAGTATAAAATGATCATTAAATTTAAAAAATTATTATTATATAACGTGTAATGATATTTTTGTAATAATTTAATATCATTTTATAAGTTTTAAAAGTTTAATGATCAAAAAATTCATTTCAATATAGTTTAATGGTCAATTATATACTTTATTTTAAATTTTATTACAACCACTATATAAGTAAAAATAATCATATAAGAATATATCTTTTAAAATTTATTAAACAATAACCATATAGGGAGTAATAAAAGACATATATATATATATTCAATGTCCAAACCGCTTTTCTACATTTATAATATATTCTATGGTAAATTACGTCTCAAGTACCTAAACTATTAATTTTGATATATTTTAGTATTTAAAATTTTATTTTTTAAAATCATTTTAATTTTTAGTTTTTATTTTATTTTAGTACTTGCCGTTAAAAACTTAACAAATGAACTGACATGACTGGACTGACGACCAATCCAAACGATGAACTACATGACAATAACGTATCTACTGACATAATCCAATTTTAAACTCATCAAATAGTGGACCATGCGGTGGACCAATAAATTATCTATGTTTATATAAAGGAGGACAATTATTTGGTGATAAGTATGAATAACTACAAAAAAAACGATGCACTTATCATCAGTGAAAAATAATGTTTATTATTATTTTAAATATCATAAGGATCATTTTATAATCCTTTGAGAAGTTTAATAATTATTTTATAATATTTTAGAAAAATAAATTTACATAATACTTTAATATATTTTACATAAATTTACATAATTTTTTATATCCATTTCAACCAACTTAAATCTAATCAAACACACTGTCAAGTTCAAACTTAGTATGCCAACTATATGAATATGCACCAACTAATAATAGAAGATAATATAATAATGATGGGAAAGTACATAATTTGATTATTTCCTACCTTTGGACAATGATGCCAACTATATGAATATGCACCAACTAATAAATGTTATATTTTTACATTTTTTAAATGTATAAAAAAATACTTAACACAATTTTAATATTACTCATAAAAATTAATTTTCATTGATAACCTTTATTATTTAATAATCATATTTTTTTAACAAATCAAATTAGTATCCAATCTATTAATTAATGAATCTAGATTAAGTATTGGAGGAGCTTAGTAAGGGCCCAGACCCTTTTAAATTTTTTATATTTGATATAATTTTGGTCTAATTGTATTTTGGTTTATGAAAAAATAAATATTTAAAATTAAAAATATAAGAATTTATTAAATATTTAATCAAGTAAGGATTGAACTAAAGAAGGATAACCCCGTGTTCTCAAAAATTTTGGTCTAAAAATAATCTAGGTCATTGTAAGTTTAAATATTAGATAAATTAGGTGTTATCTTGTGAATTTTGAATTTTTTAAATAAAAAATATAAGGTGAATACAAGGTAATATCTCTACAAAGGTTTTCAACTATTTGACAATAGACGCTCGTACCCCTACATGCGCAGTTCTCTAACTCGAGACCTCAAGGATAGCAACAATCTCTTAATCACTAAGATCACTTGGTTCGTGCTGAATTTTGAGTTTAAATACCTAATAAGTCTTTATATTCTTTTTAAATAGTCCAATATTTTGGCCCCTGTCAACATTTAGTTTTGGCTCCGTCCCTGATTATAAGGCGATTCTCTTAACTCAATTATTCCATTTACACCATATTTAAATTCATGATCTTACTTTATCTCATCCCAATAGATCGATTAACTATTTGTGACAACCCTATTTGATTTTAGTTAAATTTGTATGTATAATTTATAATTAGATTTTTAATACAATATATTTACTTTTTGTTGATTTTTAATGGTTTAAATATAAATTAACTATTTAATTTGAGTAATATTTTTAGATATTTAGTATTACTTAATTTTTAAGATGTAAAACATAAGATATAAATTAGGGTGGAACAAATATTATGATTGAGCGTGACAGGACGTAAGAAGAGAGCGATGCATGGTGGGCCATTGTGTTAATTATTAGAATCTATGGTACTTAGACAGGAGTTGTTGCCACAGTCTCAATGGGCCACAGGGTTCTGCTTTCCAAGGCATCCTGTGTGACCCACTAATTCAATTAAAATAAGCAGCAACCATCCATCCATTTTAATCCCATTCTTTTCACTAATATTTCATCACTAATTTTGATCATTATCTTTCATCCGTTTTTGTATTAATCTACACATTGATGATAAAAAAAATATTCTACAAACCATATTATATTCATGCAATCTATTTTATTTAATATTTAAAATTATAAATTTGTGGGTTTAAAGTTTAGATTTAAGATTTAGATGTTAAAGTTACAGTGCTGGTAATATAAAGAATCTCAAATTGGATAGGAATTATTTGACTTAGTTCAGTCAGAGTCGTATGTGTTTCCTTTAGACATAGTTTTATAATTTACCGTTACTAAACGTTACATAATAGTATTTTATAGTCATTAAAATAATATATTTATGATAGTTAATTGTTTTTGTAATTATTATTGGATTTTTACCCTTTGCTCTTAAATTGAGCCTATAAATAAAAGTTGTTTTTCACTTTTTAAAAACTACGACTATAAGAGTAATTTTTTCCTTATATCTTGTCATATGACATTATACTATAAATACTTGTAGAATCTTAATTTTATGTATCCAATAATTTTTCATATACAAGCATGTACGTGTACTTTACATGTTGAACTCGATATTTTATAATAATTTGAATAAAATGTCAATCATATATATATATATATATATTAAGTTTTTGATTTGAATTTTCAACATATTATATCAAATTTAAATACTATAAAATATAAAATCCACATTAAAAATATTTAAAATATCTTCAAATCTTAATCCAAATCCAGACTTATTATTTATACCAAGTGTTCCAAATAAAATCCCTATTATCTTCAAAGGCAGTTGAATGATCATATCTAAAGAGAATTCAAGGTCACTTCCAATGCTGTGCGAAGGACGAGACTTTCCTCCACTCACTCCCATTTTGCTTTTGTCTATTTCTTTCTTAGAATAATACTCTTACACGTTGCACTGCAAGCTTGGAAGTTTACTTTTATTTGTCCCTCCAATGAAATTCCATGTACATGACACATAACTTATTATATTAATGCACAATTCAAATCAAAACTATCGTAAATTTAATGGTTAAAGAAAGTGTTGTTTTTTCTAGAGATTTTATATTCGAGTAGTTGTGTCTGTAAGGTATGTGCATTATCAATAGCTAACAAATATTCTGAATAAATATTACCTTAGACTATTACGATACATAAATATATAAATAATTAGCGGATCAAATATAAATAATAAATAAAAGAGCCCATGAAAGTAATGGTGTGTCAAAGAGTAATGATAACCTTTTTTCCATGGACTAGAGCAATGCCATTGAACCTTATAAATATGCACATGCTAGGGTTAGGGTTAGTCATCAAACGCCATAAATCTAGCTACTTCTTTTTTACGTTTCTTTATTGTGTAGCTCAACGAGGAGAGCTTGCATTCTCTTGGAGCTCTCTTCTAGAGTAGGGTGAAAAAAGAAAACCCCATTTCAAAGAGGGATTAGGGGTTTTTTTTCCCCTTTTGTTCGGAGGGAGGATGAAGAAATGTCAAGTGGTGCTGAAAAGTGGAAGAAGAAGAAATTGTAGTACTTCGTCGACGATGATTACGAATGTGAGATACGGGGAGTGCCAGAAGAATCACGCTGCGAACATTGGAGGATACGCCGTCGATGGATGCGGGGAGTTCATGGCGAGCGACATGGAAGGGACGACGGGTGCTTTGACGTGCGCCGCTTGCAGTTGCCACCGGAATTACCACAGAAGAGAAGTGGAAACCGAGGTGGCATGTGAGTGTACCTAATTCTTCGTATGGTCAATAGCTAAAGAAACAACAAAAAATAGAGGGAAAAAAGCATTTATAAATATGAATTGATCAGCTTATTATTGTGTTTGAAAGTTAATATTGTTGTTATCGATTGTGTTGTTGAAATCTGGATGATTGATGGTGTAAGTTATTAATTTATTGTTCATCAGTTTTATCGAATAATAAGACAATTTATTTAATCATATTATGTTTATCTAAGCTATAGACATAACATATATTATTATAGATATAAATAATAAAGAAATCGAAACGAAAAATGCAACTATAATAAGATCACATGGTCCCAATTTTAAAATAGCATGAGAAATGTGTATTTGTTTTCAATATATTCGACAATGGAACAGGTTATTCCAAATAATATATAGTGTCTCTGTCCTTGCCTTTTACTTGACATAAGATTTGAAATAAAAATAATAATATCTTTTTGTAAAGGATAATTTATCCTTGGGATAGTTTAGCATTTTGAATATATATATATATAAAGGCCCACATGTATCCAATCATGTTCTCTCCAATTGTTGTTTTATATATTTTATTTTTCCTCTACTAGTTTCTTTAAGGTCACTAAAGCCCTTAAAATTATAGTGGCCTCCATTTTGGGGTAAGTGGGACTTAACAAGAAAAAAAGGGAAAGCATGCCCAACTTTACATGTAGACTTTAATTTGTTATTATTATTTTGAAATAAAAGTCAAGTTTTATTAATAAACCATGCCCAACTTTACATTACTTGAGTTATTTTTTCTTTTCAATATTAGTTTTGATATAAATATTTATCACGTACTTAAAATAAATATGAAATATTATCCCTGAAATATATATCTTTTAGAAAATAAAATTATTTTAGTCAACACATATAGTAAAGAATCATCACTATAAAACTAAGGATTGATATGGATTAAGTCTGGACTAGTTTTTATCGATTCAAATCTAACTCGAGTATTATATTATTTCTCCATCCATCACTTAACCTGATGTGAGTTTTAAAAAAATTCCACATGACCCAAATTCCACGTCATTTTAAGATAAAACTCACACCAACTCTGATATACATATATATCATTTTTATTTGATAAAATATAAAAAAATAATTCCAATCATTCCTAAATATATAAAAATTAATTATATTAATCTGTCGAGATCGGGTCAAATGCCCATCCCTATTTAAAATAATGATCTTAACATGATATCGGTCAATTGCGACAACAATTCAGCAAGAGGGTAAAAATCATCAAAATTATATAACTTGTACAATAAAAAACAACATTGACATATCAATATCTATCGTGAAAGGGATCGGAATCCAATCCTCGTTTAACTTGCCTTTAATTTGACCGATTGGGATCGAACATCATAGGAGAAACAGGTCCCAAATCCTGTCTGGTCTGCAAAGACTCCACCGTAACAACAGCCTCGAGAATGAGAGATCTTCAAACAAGCAAGGACGACAAAGACAACTCATCCCATCTCAGAGCGACATCGATGACTCTCATGCCCGAAACCCTCTCTGGTTGAACCACCAACGGAACCATACAAGCAACAACAACAACAACAAACCCCCTATTAATACCATAACCCATCTTCAACAATAATGCCAACGATACCAGACAAGACAATGATGGGAAAATTATAACTACGTTGTCTGAGACAGCACCGGCTGAAGTTTGGTTCGAATGGGATTCAAGATTCAAATTCACATATCCGAATCTAACAAAGGAAAACCGGATCCATATATATCGTAATTCACGGTACTCAAATCTGTAAAAATCAAATCCGATCGTGCCGAATATTCATTACTTTTACAATCCATTCATAGTCGTAATCAATGACTATTTCTCTAGCTGTAGACAATGTTCTTCATGCAGAAAAAAGTAAAGCAATGAGATTCAAGATTTCTGTACAATCAATGAAAATTTCATCCTTGAAATATGGAAAAGAGGATCCCATCTCTAACTGTAGTCTAAACCTGCATCCAATATATGTATCAGACGCTATATGGAGATGGGATCATCCATATATGAGGAAAACTTCTAAGAAAAGAATTGAATAAACTTATGCTGGACAATACCCGTATCCAACACTTATGTTGGGTCTGAATTACATAATCTTCTTCAGTACCGAAGCTTCTTGCCAGAGAAAAAGATTATCGCGTTATTCAAGTGGCTCCTGTTGGGGTGTGACTGAAGGTTCAGGTACCATACTGTAATGTGTGGCCTGAGGTTGAGCTGCTTGTATCATTGCTGCAACATCAGCTGCTGCAATTGCTGCGGCTTCCTGATTCAATTGAAAAAATAGAAAAAAAATGCACAAAACTAATTACCAAAAGAAAGTTCTTAAGTGAAATACAAATTAAAATAACTTGAATCAGCTAAAACAGCATGAGCTAATTTAGCTTTAGCTTATTAAAGCAGCATGGATATGATTAGTACTAGGAATGACAGAAGATGTCATTCATGGAATGCTTTTTCAGAGCTATGTTACTCGACTCTTCAGTTTCTTTAAGTAATCAAACCCGACAAGTATTCAGCCATGGATAATGGAGATATGACCCTCAAGACATCCTCTAAAATACATAAACCAACCTGGAGGAATTTGAAAATCCTTGTACCAGACACATTCTTAATGAGACTCGAACCTTACCTACTATGCCGAGTCCATATCTCGGAAAGACGATACATATCTATATTTTCGGTATTCTTCTTCTGCGATCTAGATCAAACTTGACACAATCAAGTAAAACAGTGGTGTCATTTTTTCAAGAAAGTCGGAACCATTACCCGTTGTTCCCGACGGCGCTGCAATATGCTGATAGCCCAGGCCACGATGTAACAGGGAAGAAGAAAGCCAGCAGCACGAAGCAGGAAAAGCTAGATGGCAAAAACCAAGAAAGGATGTTAGAATCAAACAATTAAGAAATTATGAATTACAAAAAGATCAACACAAATTCAAGCCATGCTTACAGAGATATATTGAGATACATCATCGTCGGTGTCTCCATTGGTTAGGTACAAAGCATGCCTCAAGAACAGGAGAGCCAGAAGCTGCAAATAAATAGATAGAATAAGATCTAAACAGAATAAGAACAAGGATATTAGCAGTGACTCCAGATTGGACGGGGCAATAAGGACTGGAAAATGTTTAGTGAGACACAAAACTGTGACCATCTTTGCCATCAAAGCAAAAAAAAAAAACAATAATTTGAGCTTTAGGGCTCAACTCCCATAAGGACATAACCACAAGTTGAAATGAGGCTGATGGCTAGAACACTACCAATGCTGGGGGGAAGATGCAGGCAAACCATACAATAGATAACGCATTGCATGACACACAAGATGGCTTGAACATTGATATTCGATCTATTTTCTGCAGCAAACTGGTACAATAAGTAAAAGGAAGTACGGAATCACCAAGATTTTTACTTAACATAAGCCAATAAGGACCTATTATACTCGGGCTTAGGTTTGAGTGTCGGATACAAGTATGTACCCATTATCAATATGTTCAAATTTTTCTTTCTCCATATGTTTGTATGGTCCTCGGAGGGCAATATCTGAATCCATGTAGGACAGAAGTGTTGGACAAGTATACTTCAAGGAAAATGAAGAGTCAAAGCAACATAGGATAGTTAATAATTTGTTTTGTTTTCATAGAGGAAACAAAAAGCTTACAGTTAGGGTAGCAGCACGGAAAAATTCAGTTCCACTAGAATCATTATTGGAATATTCATCATAGCCTGGCTCCAAAAGACGGCGTTCTGCTGCCACTGCTAAGATCCGTTGGTCATGTAAGTTCAAAGGAGCACCAGAGACTGTCCACTCACTGTATCAATAGAAAAAATAGGAAATTCAGATGTCAAAGGTGATTAGCATAAAATAGCAACCCATCCTACATAACACCGAACAGGTTCGGATATAGATCCTCACAAACAGGAAATAGTCCAAGAAATATCAAAGTTTCAACTGCGGTAACAAGAACAACATTGGTAATAAAACCGGGAAAGAAAAAGTTAAATAGTTTGAGTGACACTGATCTTTATCATGTCTATGATGGATAAGTACGTGCACACTTGTGAGACTTGCCTGATATCAATTGTAGCAACCTCTGGCGGAGGAGGAGGCGGTGACATATATCCCGGTTCGAAAGACTGCAAATTAATTTTTTTTTGGGAAGAAGTTAGTAAAGTGGCCTAATAACTCAACTCAAACTAAACTATTTAATCAAAGAGATAGATGATGACTATGTTTGTTGTCAGAAAGAAACCAATCCGAGATATCATATGAATCTTCCCAAAAATACATAGATAATCACACATATTTGATATACCACATGGAAAAAAAAGTCGCATATATATCATATGAATCTTCCAACAAATACATAGATAATCACACATATTTGATATAGCACATGGACATCAAAAGTCACTGAGATATCATATGAATCTTCCAACATGCACCAGAGGACTGTGGCTCAAATATTTGTGAATGCAACTTTACCCCCATTGTTTTTAATGTACAAAACTAACCAGTGATTCGCCAACAAAAAGGAAAGGAAAAAGAAATACCCTTAAAAATCCCGACACTTGTTTATATTAATGAATTATGCAAATAAGTAAGTGCAAAATAAGAACATAAAAAACAGCAGATTTTGTTTATCCTATATTAAATGACGTAGACATCAACATTCCCAGTGCAGGGGTATACCTGATGACATATCTCACAAATTATATCTCCCTTCTCGTCGCACCAACGCTGAACGCATTTCCTGTGAGCAAACTGGATAAAAAATTGTGTCAGCCACTGCACGAAGATGAAACCATATAGTAATAAATCTGGTACACAATAAATCTCAAAGTTTCCCAAAACAAATCAACACCTTCAAACTGCCACTGCACAAACAAGGTGCCTCCAAATTCTTAATGCTGTCCTCATCCTGGCAGATACGGCATTCAACCGTCTGGAGGAGTGGTTTTTCTTCATCACACGAACCATGATCTTCAACTTCCTCCACATCAATAGCATAAACATCTTGCTCAGCAACTATAGAAGAATCATCACCCGATGATCCCACAACTTCGGCTTCATGCACCGATGGCAAAATTTCGGGTTTTGTAAGGCGGTCCACACATAATACGAGGCGATCACTCATTTTTTGTCCCATTGAAATCAGAATACACCTATGAAGCTGAAAGTAAACTGCAAGGCATACTTCAAAAACTAACAGACTAGTGTTTAACCATAGAATTTAATGGTAGATTCAACTGCTTCTAATAAAAAATCTTCAATTTTTTACTATAGAATTGAATCCCCAACAGAAATTGAAAAAAAAAACTATTCCCTTCATTTTCAGGATAACCAAACAATCCAATCATAATTCGCAAAATTAAAGAAGAAAATGCCAAAATCATGATCAGAGTTGAACAAATCCATTAATCAAACAAATTAAAAAAACATAAAAATATACAAAGAATTACCGGAGAAGAAAACAGTTTTTCTTGGGAGTCTGAATCTGATATGTTGTATAACTTGTATTAGCTTAGCTTCCCTCCTTGTAAATATCTATAACGAAGACTCCAACACCAGACGACTTTCCTTTGTAACAATCAATGGGCTTCCTTGCTTGGTTATTAATAAAATCGATAATTGAAAGCTCTCTTTTTTCCCCTTTTTATATATTAAATATATTCAGTAAAATTAAACTAAAAAAGTAAGTTGACTATTTTACCAGTAGAGGTTCGGTTTAAACGATGCCTTAGAAATTAAGCTTCCTAACTTCCGTCCAAAGATGAGGCTTCCTTTTTATTGAGATAAATTACACTCATGATCACGAGTTGATTTTATTTTAAAATTTTAAGCGTTAATTTTATTAATCAAATCATTTAATTATAAATAAAAATTGATGATAAAAATAAAATTGGATCGTAACTAAATAGTTATGAGTATGTTTTATCATTTTTATTATTACATAATTTTTTTGATGAGTATTAGGCCTGTAAACGAACCGAACGCACACGAACGAAGGTATGTTAATGTTCATTCATTTAATAAATAAACGAACATAAACGAACAAATTTTTTTTTGTTCATGTTCGTTTATTAAGGAATATGACTTGTTCATGTTCGTTCATTTAATAAATAAACGAACATAAACGAACACGAACATAAATGAACACGAACATAAACGAACATAAACGTTGGAGACCCTACCTTCCATTGTTCTTTCATGAAAAATAGTCGACAATGCAAATCAACCAAATCTACAGTGATAAATAGCGTAAGAGCTTATTAGCAGTGATGAAATGTTTGAAGATATCAAATATTTCGATCGATCTTTTAAAGATATTAAATGATTCGCACGACTTTAATTTAACGCTATAACATTTATCTTAGTGTTCCATGATTACATATGAACAATCATTTTCCGCTATTACACTCTTTTTCAGAAATTGAATAGAAACCTTTGTTTTGTTTTCTGGCAAATTCTATATATTTTTCTTTTTACTAATGCTCATATACTTCCGATTTTTACCTTTATCTTCCCATCTATTTCTAGAAAGAAGTATTATGTTTTCTTGAGTTTTAGATGTGAAGATACCCACAATAACTTTACATATCAACTATTAAGTCAAATAAAACAGATAAAGATGAAAACAGACATGTAAAACTTCATATTGCACTATAATATAACTTGTTTTGAATCTTTCAGAGATCGTCTCCACTCTCCAGTGAACAATAAGATTTGGGAAAAAAAAGGGAAAATGAATATAAGAGCGAGGTGCCTCACAGGTTAACATATTGGATTTAATCTCCAAATAAAATTAGGTTAATTATGGAGTTGGTCATCAGAATATTAGATTAATATTTTTAAGATACTTACAAATTGGTCACCAAAATTGATTTAAGAAGATTGGGTTAAACATAAATGAATGAACATAAATGAACATAATCGAACGAACATAAACGAACATACCCAAACGAACATAACCGAACGTTCACGAACCTAAATGAACGAACGAAACCTATGTTCATGTTTGTTCATTTAATTAAACGAACAAAAAATCTTGTTCATGTTTGTTCATCTTGTTCATGTTAAGTTCTATTTTTATTAAATAAAATAAATATTTAATTGAATATACATATACATATATATATAATATATTTTTCTCAAATTGAATAGAAAATTTTCACCTTAAAACTAACATAATCTTATCTTATCCCTAAAAAAAGCGACTCAAACCGACCTTAATTTAATCTTTTAAAAAGAATATTTTATATAATCAAATTGAAACCAATTAAATCCAAATCTTATACCCAACCTTATTCATCGCCTTTTTTTTTATTTTAAAGAAAAGGAAATTCATTCAATTTTCAAAACCAATGGCATCGAATACAACACTATTTACAATACAATCAGGGTAGTCATACACAAACTATACTAGAGAAAATTGAACAGCATCCTATAATCTCTCTTCTAGCTTGTCTCACTGGAGAGGTAAATTCAGACGTGACTGGTCCAGCTCAATCTGATCCTCTTGACATGTCTCAACTCAAAAACGAAATAAAAACAAAGGCCCTTAGGTGTCGCGGAAGAAAAACCCGAGCCACAGTCTCCCGATGTAACTAGTCCAGCTCAATCCGATCCTTTTGACACGTGTCACCTCAATGACGAAATGAAAACAGAGGCCCTTGAATTAGATGTCACAGAAAAAAACTCTGAGCCACACTCTCCCGTTGTTTCACCAGCAACAGCTGTTGTAGCGGATATGCTGGATTTCTAGAGCCGAATGAAGTTTCTATAACTTCCATCTGTGCATCTCCAGTCCCACTCTATCGTGGCACTCGCCGAATAAAATTGTTACACGAGGATGTTGCCTTGCAGCTTTTCTGTCCTTGTCTAAGAGTGCGATTTGGAATCAGTAAAAAATTTCTCGATCAGGCAGGTCGGCCACGTTTGAGTTTCGTGGTCGATGCTTCCCCGACCTTATGTGGCATTGTGGATGCTTGTGATGCAGCTGCAAAGGAAATATTCGTCGGTTGTGGAAGCAGTTCTGATTGGAGGCATGTCAAGACTGCAGTAAGTTTTCATTACTCGATGCATTTTGTTTCCTTTCATTCTCGTCATTCAACAGTTCATAGTTTCTTTGAACTCTTTCCTTTCAGCAGTCCTATAATCGTCAACAGTGACTCCGCCCAATATGGCACGGAGATACATTGAAAGGACTACTCCGGTAATGTGCAGAAACACGAATTCAACGCTGATGAACTCAGCAACATGATTAGAACATGATTAGTTATACATTGTAGTTAGTAGGATTTAATGGTAGGAAAGGTGAATTTAGTCCATTTTTAGATTTTTCCCATACATGTTAAAGTACTGTGCATGTTTGAGCATGATCCATGTGTTCATATGAGCTGATTTCTCAAATTCATACCTTTAAGATGACATAGGTCATCCATACTTTGTACCAAAAGGGATAAAATATCAAAATGTAATTGCAATTTAACTGAAATTGTTAAATATGACATTCTTTTAGTTGAACGTAACGTGGTGTTTAAATTCGTGTTTGTGCTAATACGTGTATATGATATGTATCATATATTATTTTTTAATAAAATATGTATATATATTTTTTCTCATTATTTTTCTTTTTCTTTTCTTTTAATTATTCACAATCAAATTTCCATTTAAAATAAATTCATACTCGTAAGTCGTAATAAAAAGTGTGTTTGATCAATTGCGTTTTTCATATTGGACACGTTTTGCAATGTCTTATTAAAAAAATTCATTTTAATAATTAATTGGTAGTGTGTGTTATTTTGATATTCAATTATTTTTATAGTGATATTTGAGTAATTTAATTAAGGTTCTTTGTTGGAGCAGAAGTAGGGGCGGACACGACACTCGAATTTGGTGGGTTCTAATTTAATTTGATTTGATCGTGTCAGATTTTTTTTTTTAAATCTTAGTTTAGGTTCGGTTCGAGTTCAAATTTAGGATGAAAAATATTTGACCTCTACCCAAAAAATAATATAAATATATATATTTAGGGATATTTATAATAGTACTCCTCTTTATATTATTATTTTTAATTAAATTCTTATTTTATTGAATAAAATTAATAATTTTTATAAATATATTTTTTTGGGTCGAGTCCGATTCAAATTTTATCTCAAAGTAGAAGGCCCAATTTCAAGAGCTGTGAAAATAACCCATCAAGGCATAAGAAAACGAAGCTCCTTCCTCTAAATCCAATGATGGCGAATTGGGCTTATAAAAGGCAGTTGAGAGTTTGACGAGCCGAAACCAACAGATGCATCAGTTGCTTCTTCAGATTGGTGTCTTTCAAGCTTTCTGGAATGGTGGAAAACAATAGAATTCTAGAAAGCTTACTATTCGAGTGGGAAAATTTCCACTCCATCGATCATCACAAGCAAAAACAGTCGCCGGAAGCGAAACCCAATCGCCAAATCAAACAGCAGTGGTCGATGGTGATGATCAGAGATTCCGTTTCCCGCAGCGACCTCTCCGTTTTCCCTCCCGTAGACCACGAAAACCTGCACCGTCAAATCGAACAACCGCTACGGGACCCACCTTCCGATTCGACGCTTCATCCGCCTCCCGACGCCGGCAGAGTTGTTTCTTCATCCTGTGGTCGTGGGATCGGAGAATGGCTTGGAATAGGGGCCGGGATTTTGCGTGCTAAGATCGTTGGCCTCGGTAGCTATTTCGGTTATAGAGACGGGACAATTGGGAAGGCGTTTCGGTCTTTCCGAGGGGTTATTGACTTCGCGACGATGGTGCTGTTGTGGTGGTTGTGCAAGCGGATATGGCGGATGAGGCGACGGAAAGAAAGCGTGGCACGGTTGAGGATGATCATAAAGGAGAAAGATGAGGTAAAGGTGTTTGTTGAAATGATTGTTCGAAATGTTAGGGACATTTTTGTTCTTAACACATCAAATTTTAACTTTTTTTCTTTGGGGAAATCTGAATTCAATTGTGGTATATTGTGCAGAAAATTGTGGGGTTGTTGAACCAGATTGCTGAAATGAATAAAGTATTGGTAGAACGCCATAAACTTGTAGCTTCAAGACCGACCCATTAATGGCTTCTTCAATGTCAACATCATATGAAGATGAAGACCGGCAAATTGATGGCGAAGCGTTTTAGTCTTAGGGAACTAGGGAGTATATTTATTTTGATTTTTTCTTCTCAAATTCATAAAATAGATCACGTAATTGTAAATGTATGGACTTCTCAATTTAAGTGGGAGTAGTTTTTGGTTTATTTACTTTGTGGCCCTTATTTGATTTTAACATCATAAATTATTTAATTTTTTTCATCTCTAAACATAACATATTTATGTTTGTGTGAGAGTGAACATTGAAATCTATATTAAAATCATGGTCAACAAATTATGATTTTATGTTAGATAGTGAATTTAAAAAAATTTAGGCGAGAACTAATAAGCGAATTTATAAAATTTCACGAAAATAAAGTGTCAATAAAAAATAAAAAAAACATCTAAAATATAGAAAATTTAAAAATTTAAGAGGAACGATTGTTCCTACCTGCCTCCTTATCTATCTTTGATGATACCATAACAATAAAAAAATAGAGATGATACGTGAATAATTGAATTTATCGTAACTCAAATACAATTTATTTTGAATGGTATAAAAATATAAGAGATTTTTTTTATATATTTTAGGGAGAAAAATATCTACGGTTTAGTTAGAGGTATTTGAAGTGATAGTCAAGGGCATTAGCGACCTTTTATACGTGTATCTCCGTTAATTCAATTCCTATTTTTAATTTTATTATATTTAATTTAGTCATTTTGGGGTAAGTTGTGCGACATTTAAAAAAAATTCTCGACCACGACACATGCAATGACATCCGTTATGTCCGCAAACGTGACAAACGTAACCGCGAACGTTATTTAAATCCCAGTTAGCAACAAAAAAAATTCTTGGACGAAAGTAGGTAGGTGGGCGGGCGAGAGAGATTGGGGAAGAAGCCAAAATGAGTGAGGTGTTCGACGGTTATGAGCGCCACTACTGCGAGCTCTCCACGGATTTGACGCGAAGCTGTGCCTCCGCCGGCGTTCTTAATGGAGGTAAACTCTTAAGGTGCCGTATAATTCTGTAGTTGATCTCTTCCTTGATCGATCATAGTTTGTGCTTTTTTGTAGGGAGATCAAAGCTCTATTTTGTTTAACGTTTGTTTTTGCACAATGTTGATAAATATAAATTTGGATTTAGATTTCATTAGTTGAGAATAAAGATTATGAAATAGAATTTGAATCAACTAAAATTTAATATGATCATGTGTATGTGATATAAGTGAATATGAAATTCTATCATCTTATTGCTTCACATGATTGTTCACCTTCACTTTCCTTATCATAAACTGTGAGCTGAAACCGTAATTTACAGGTTTAAAATGCTTGAACACATCTCTCCATTTGTCCATCGATAACGATCTTAGTTTCGTAATTTTGTTGATGTTCTCCATTTGCATCTTGTTTAACGTGAGCATCATACCAACATTTAGTTATAGATAATGATTGCTGAATGGTGGCATAGGCCTCTGCTGCGGATTAAAAAGGCAGATTATTGATGTCGACAGAGAGATTAAACCAGTCTACTGAAAGAATTAAGGAAAGCAGAAAAACAATGCTGGAAACAGAAGAGCTGGGTGTTTCAATCCTACAGGATTTGCATCAACAACCAATCTCTCCTTAATGCCCATACCACGGTTTGTTTTCCATCCAATCTTGGGTTTCGAAATAGTGTTCTTTGTCTTTAGAACAAACTTAAGTTGCTCGATTTCTTCGTTTTTCTTAAAGTATTACTGTTAAACACCCATGTCCTGCTCACACCTGAGACAACCTTATGTGGTTCCTCGACTTTTCATTTTACTTGAAGTAGTTGTGTTCAACACTCGTATCTAACAAATTTAGACACGAGTGTATGTGTCCTTATTACTTTCTAAGGATTCTTCAAATACATAGATTTTTTTATTTAAAAAACAGGACATCTATGTATTGGTCACATACTCGTATCTAACACTTGCACCCGAATTTGAGTAACGAGGATACCTAATCGCGTTGCATCTTACGTTGACAGCTCCATGAAGTAGATGAAAACATTAGCAACAGTGTGCTGACAAGCATATCAAGAAGGAGTCCTAGTTCTTGCTATATTACTTATCCTATATTTTAGGTTCATTCATTAGGGCTTGTCTCACCTCTGGTTGTTCTATATGCCCCATTGTTTCACAGAATATGCATGTGTTTGTAATCTGCTTCTTTTTTGTGTGTGATCCTAATCTGAGCAAATTTAATGGAATATCAAGTCCTTTTTTCTTTTGTCTTCCATGCTCCTAAGTTTTGGAGTTAAACATCTTTCTTTTATTACAATTGAATTGATTATTATAATGGATATCATTTGATAGACTGACATTTTTTTCGACAAACTATTTTAATTTACAAAGAAAAACGTTTATTATCAAATAATTTTATAATAAACTTTTATATTCAAATAAGTTTTAATTTTTCTTTTATAATGACCCAAAAAGTTGTTTAAGCTGTAAAGGATGGCATGTTAGGTGATTCTTATTTAAGCATCATTGTCTGTATGATGTTTACGAATTTATTTAATTAAGAAACATGATAGATACTACTATGGAACCGCAAAAGAATGTTAAATAAAATTAATTATTAATCAAAATATTAAAAATGAAAACAATTATTTATTTTTATTTGGACACCTTAATAATATAAGACTTTATTTAGATAAAGTATTGTTTAAAGATTTTATTATTATTTTAACTTAAACAAACACTTATGATAACAGTGTTTATTTAATAAAAAAATACTATAATTAAGGATATTTGTAGTATTTAGATATTCTAAAAAAATAAGATCACTCTCCAAATGCATGCATTCATGCAAGAGTTTATATGTAATATGTTCCGAGAACCTTCATGGTACAATTTAGAGGCTACTACTTAAGTGTAAAAAGAAAAAAGAATCGCATTTTAGCTTTTGAATAAAAAATGAGAAATAATTGCAATTAAAAATAATAATAATATAAAACACTAATGTAACGCCTCAAATATTGGTCTAGTAGTTTAGTGTCGACCCAAGAATTTATTTAATAGATTTATTATAGCATAGGGGTCATTGATTCATATTTAAGTTTAATAAGGTAAGAAAATAACATTGTAGAAGATAAAAAGGAGATTTTTAAGCTCGGGTTAAAGGTAAAGAGATCTAGAGTACAATTTACTCATTCAGAAAAATATGGTTGATTAATGGGATATTCTTTCTTATATTGGACGTGGGGTTTTAGAGCCAAAAGACTTTCTTTCCTTATTCCTATTCTCTTCTTATTTCCCCTTCTCTCTCCTTCTATTTCTTTTCATTTAAGCAAGAACAAGAGAAATGCTTCAAATTTTTCTATCCCTTCCTTAATCCAAAAATTAGAGGTAAGATTTTTAATCTAGAGTTCTTTAGCTTCATAAAGAGTTCACCATCTTCTTCAATGGTGTTCTTGAACTCCCATGGGATTTTAGGAGGGTTTGAGATCCAAAGACTCTTCCCATGGTTTCTATCTAATTTCCATATATTATAGTCGTTGTTTAACATCTAGTCTCCTTCATTTCATGTTGGAATCGTTGGGTGACTTTTGGGTGATAGAAGAGTGGTGTAAGAAACCCCTCATTTGAGCTAGGTCAAAGAAAAGTTGATCTTTGGGTAAGTTATAGACGTTTTTGGGTTACTAGGAGTTGAGGTAACACATTATAACTCTTCCTTACTACTTGTATGTCATCTACATGAGTTTGCTTACTTGTATGGGGTGGAAGAGCATGTGGGGGCTTGGGTTCTTGATTTGTTGTTATGGACGTTTTTGGTGTTAGATTGGAGTAAAAATGATGTATGATGACCCCTAATGGCTTTTATAAGCTTTAATAACCAACTTAGACCTTAAAATAAGTGTTTGAGATGAGTTTGGGGGGTGTTTTCCGAGCCAAAGAACGTATTTCTGGGTTATAGTATCGATATTGTATGAACAATATCGATATTGTTCATATTCTAGGTGAAAACTAGGCTTTTTAAGTCTCAGTATCAATACGGAAGGTTGTAGTATCGATACTGGAAGTTTGGTATCGATACCGAAGGGCTATGGTATCCATACATGATATATTAATATCCATACCGGATGAGTCGGTATCCATATTGAAGGCTCGATATCCATTTCGAAGATTCGAGAGTGAGGGATTTAATATCAATTGATATCGAGCATTTAGCTCGAGTGTGGGAGGTTACTAAAATGTCTTTAGGGGACTAAAATTACCAAATTGCCCTTATGGGCCTAAGTGAATGAAATAACCTATACTAGTAAAAGTGAAATTGCTTAGTGACTGGGTAATGAATTGAGACTCGAAGGAGGAGTCTGAAAATATTGTGATTGATAATAATGGCGAGATAACACTGTAATAATAATGATATGAGACATTTAGCTCTTAACGAGAGTGTGTTCGTGAATACTCAGTAAAGATAATATAAATAACTAATATCAAAGTTTTTGGCTGGGAGTATCAATACTTATTCATGGGGTATTGATATTGTTCGTTGGGTATCGATACTCAAGGGTGGGGTATCGATACCATGTTAAGTCCTCAAATTCCAGTAGCCTATTTTAGTATCGGTACTCAAAGGAGTATCGATATTATGCGAAGGGTATCAATACCCCAAGTAAGGGAATCAATATTGAATTAAATAATATTAGATTACAATATACCAATTTGGTATCGATATCAGTTTCAATACTATGAGGAATATTATCAATACTATCGTTCAGTTTCAGGCAGAAAGTCATGTTTTAGTTTAAAGACTCGGGAAGGGTCTAAGGTAACCGAAACATCTCAATAAAGTTTACAAGTGGAAACATTGAATAAATTGTATGATAATCATAAGAATTTTAAGATGTAAAATTCTATAAAGCTCATACCTTGTTTGATACTAGAAAAATAATAAGGACACCCGAATTACTTGTAGATTTCAATAACGTACAAGTCGTCCCTCCAATTCAAGGATGGATTCAGGGAATATATGATAGGGAATATATGATGAGAGCGACTAGAGAGTCGATATCGATTAACCAATTCGAGTCGAGATTTAGGCTAGTAA